TAGAGGTGTTACAAGAGAGTAACAAACACAAAATAGAAGGAGCGGAGATAAAGACGACAGATGTTAGATAGGAAAGAAGAAGCAAACCACACCAGAGCACCCACTAACCACCCACATGCCTAATTGTAGGTACGTATGCATAATTGTGTTTTAAAAATGTGGTGACATTTTATAGTAGGTCTCTCTACACAGTTAAACTCCGTCCAAACCTAAATGTAGGAACCAACAAATATATACAAATGCTTTTTATTTATCTATATTACTATCAACAACAAAATTCTGACAAAAGGCGAGGAGGAAACAGGTGTGGTTGAGAACACTTGTAGTGAACGTTTTATTCTATAACACAAACACATGGTCCATCTCCGGCATGTACAGGGCTAGGAAATACACAACAAACATTGTTTGTAACATGTAACATATTAATGTACAAGAGTACGTGTGTTTGTGTGTGAGCGTGTGCATGAGAGAGAGAGAGAGCGAAGAGAGAGAGAAAGAGAGGGTAGGTAGAGAGAGAGAGAGAGAGAGAGGAGAGACACAGAGAGAGAGAGAGAAAGAGAAAGAAACATCCCAGCATTTCTATCTCCGGACGTAGCTTCCTTACTAATCTCAACGATAATAAAATGCACCCCCCCCCCCCACAAACCCTCTTTCCCACCAAAAAATAAACGTGGGAGAAATCAGTTTCCATAACAGTACAGCACTGCTGAAAGAAGTTTTCGGCAGGTCAAGGGAGAAAAAATATAAACGGCTATCGTACATTAAAAAAAAAACCCTAATAAAAATCCACAATTCATGCAATCAACATCAAAGAAGGAACAGAGAATCATGAAGGACAATTATCAATGATCTAGATACAAGTATTGGGCAATCTGTCCGCTCAAATCAAGCACAGCATGTAAAAGTTCATTCAAACAATGACCTCACCCCAGCAGTGGTGATAGAGAAATAGACTGATAGAGCAGACTGTTTTTACAAGGAACTCTCACACAATGAATTATATTGCGTAAAGATGCCTTCTTCAATGACGCGGGACCGCATGGGAAAGAAAGAATGAATAATCAAGGTGGGAAATTGATGTTTTAAATGGTTAGACTCGGGTCTCTGTATACCCTCAGGACAAATCTTTAGCCAAATTCAATGAAACCACTTGAGGATATATCCTGTCAGAGAACTCAAACCAAACCTCATAAGGTCAAAGAACTGTCATTTGGTCTGGATCGCTTCCCCTTACATATCCGACAAGCTCACCAAGACCAATCAACACGTCCTCGCGTATCCGATATGTTCACCTAGACCTAGACCCACCAACACATCCTCAAATATCCGTTAAGTTCACCAACACCCACCAACATGTCCTCACATATCCGATAAGTTCACCTTCAACTAGACCCACCAACCCATCCTCAAATATCCGATAAGTTCACCAAGACCCACCAACCCATCCTCAAATATCCGATAAGTTCACCAAGACCCACCAACACATCCCCAAATATCCGATAAGTTCACCAAGACCCACCAAAATGTCCTCACATATCCGATAAGTTCACCTTCAACTAGACCCACCAACACATCCTCACATATCCGATAAGTTCACCTAGACCTATCAATGCCAACACATTCCACCATCAGACAGCGTGAGAAGCTGGTGCGACCACACACACACAGTCTCCACCATTACAAACCCAAACATCTACATTCCAAGGCGCTTTCAAATATATCGGCAAGGAGAGGGGGGAACAAAACTATATTCAGATACAGTCAGGTGCATAGTCTTTACAATTACCAGATTCAACCAAAATTTGTTCCAGCAGCAACTCAAGGTAAAGGTGAATATAACATAACAATTCTCTGGACAGTGAGCACACAGCTAGCTACAGAATATTGATTTTACTTTCTGGCTGCTATCTTATCACCACAATCAGCTTGTGAAAAGACACCCCCCTCCCTCCCATTTTCACGCTTAGATCAGCCATAAATAGCTTTTGATGTTTAATGGTGAAAACCAGTTTTCAAGAGCAAGGATACAAAGTGTAATAATAAAGTACATGTAGTAAAGTCTGCCTGCAGTTCCTACAGCACCAAGTGCATCCACAGGTCTCACTCTCTTAAGACGAAGCCGTGGCCCATTCAAACATGCGCAAAACACTCCAGATCAAGAGATGCAATGAAAAGGAAGAGCACAACAACTGCAACCCCGGCGTTAACAGCACACACCACACTCGCAGCAACTCAAGCTGTTGACCCCCCCCCCCCCCCCCCCCAACTGACAATGCTCTGGTCAATATGTGTCACGACGTGGTGGAATCAGGCGACGTGGTGGAATCAGGCGCTCGTCAACTTTTGGGCATATATGGGGTTATTGGTATCATCTTAAAGTTAAAGCCTGTTCATTCGCCTTCCTGTTGGTGAAAAAAATCTAAGTGTAGCCGAAAAAGTCTGAAAACTTCCATAGCCTGAGAGTACTTGAAAACTTGAAAATTTACATTTTTTATTGACATTTTTCAGGACAATCCATACAGAAATGTGTTCTTTAAATACTTTAACGGGCATGAAAGGAGTTGATCCAAAAGAAACCCCAACAAAATTCGATAGAAATTCCCAAACCCGCGGATAAAAGCCAATTTCTTGACTTTCATTATTTTGACGAGTGCCTTATTTGAACACGCTGCTACACATAGGACTTGCTCAGGATACGATCAGCCCAGCCCTCATCATGGCACAAATCAAGTAACAAAGGAGGGGTGCGCTGTCATAAAAAATACACATCAGAGAGATGATCAAGCCGCTGCTGTGTAACCCCAGCCATCTGTTATGATGAAACTTCCTATATATATGGCTAGTCGCTACCTTAGACTTACAAAGTTCTATCTGCTCAGTGTCTGATTTTGAGAAATCTGACGTAAAAAATGTTGAGGTTCACATGTCAAACTTTTTCGAAAGCACTTCTTTGAATATCTTAACAACGATTTTGAATGATCTTATGATTTTCACGGAGAAGACAAAACATTTGGTTTCTGACCTCATAGTCTTAATAACTCAAAACAGCCAAAGAGGACTTTGTGATTCTAAGGTAGCGTAGTGGAAAGGTAAAAAAGACAAAGAACCCCAAAACCTGCGTCACAAGCTATGCATTGCGCCCAGGGGCCTTGCGTCACACGGGGAAACACAACAAGAGGAAGGCACTGGGACATGGTAGGCGATGAGGTGAATAGGAAGCAACATGGCCACACAAAGACAGACACACACCACACCCTCACAAACACATGACACACAGACAAGCTCTCTCATAAACAAGCTCACATGTATGTTAACTCACAAGAAATTACTGTACACGACGTCTTTCTCACTTTCTCTGAGAAACAAGGTGACTTTGAGGCGTACAAACAGCTCTCCGCTCATACCTAAGACACACACCCTCTTTCTTGCATGCAATGGTCGTAAATGAGGAGTCCACGGGAAAAGCAGGAATAGTCACAAACTGAAAACTGTAAGGGAATCAATTTTGAACACTTGTTGACTCATAACAGTATTTCTGTTCAACTGTTGTTGATTGATTATAGTTGTAAGATTTCCCATTCAACAAATGTAACAATAAACCACCAATCAAACAAATATGAGTCCAGAAGCTTTTAAAATTACCCCTTCACAATTTCAAGTTAGTGATTTTATGCCATTTTCCCCCCGTGGAATCCTTAAATGGTTTCTACATGACTCCTTTAACAATAATAACACACAATTAAGGAGTCAGGCCACTTTAACCCTGCCTGTCAGGGCCAGCCATGGCTAAGAGGCATACAGCGTCAAAACAGACAAAGATATTTTATGACTTCCCCACACGGGGAACAGACTCGCATCTTTCATGCGCAGCAGCAAAGAGTGTAATCACCACACTGCAGACAACGGTTCTCCATTCTCAGCCAGCGGTGCCGTTGCAGCAACAAAATGCAATTTCACAACAGTGACATTCCTGTGCCGAGGAAAAATCATGGCAACAGACAAAGAGGGAATTGAGAGCAACAAGCAGAGCCCTCATCCCACTCGTCCTGCATTATATGATCCTGTGACGGCTAACAGGTCTGTGTATGCCTCACCAAGGAGGTTAGGTGCGGAGTGAAGTCGGGGGTCATGTCTGATGTGGCTAACCTGACCATTAACAGAACCCCCCCAAAAAAAAGGCTTGGACAGAGCCAAGAAGTAGGACCCCACTATCCATGGGGGGACGAGAGTTCTTGCATAAAAACACTCCCTGCCTTCACATCAGGGGCTTTTTCTTTGTTTGAGTAAAGAGAAGCACATTGACACAATAATGACCAGTCATTTGGTGATGTGGAAAAAAGTAAGACAAACAGAAACAGGGAAAGTAAAGAGGTAGGACCTACCAACCTCATCAGGAGAAACGCACTCATACTTCCAACCCATCTAAAACTAAAACAAATTGGAGAACATTACACCCGTCTTGTTCAAATCTTATCAACTGCAGCACTTATAACACACAGATAATATACTAATACATAAACAGATGTTTTGTAGACACGCATTGTTTTAGAGCTTTACTAAAAAAAACTCTCCAGTGAAAATAAGTTCGATCATTAACGAGAATGGCGGCTTCCAACCTGCATGTCAGGTCCAACCAACCCAAGCTAAGCTGGATACAACATCCCAGAAGATAAGTGGGGGACATACTATTCAAGTGAATAATTTCCCCTAACAGTCCAAACTCATGCCTTCTGAGTACAAAGGCAAAGAGTCTAAACTATTACACTACAGAGGCCTGAAGCAACAAAAATTAAGTCCAGTATTTTCAGTTTTTCCAACAATCTTTCTTGTAATCTTCAACTACAGTCTACCCCCTATTTGTTCACATTGGATGACATCAGGACCACTCTACCGTAACAGCACAGTTTCAGGCAAAAGTACTATATATTTCAAAAATACCAGAGACGCAGCACTAGAAATCTCTCTACAATTAGAGAAAGAGGATTTCTGGTCATCCCCCACACCCCCCCACCCCAGTAAAAAGATAATTCTGGAAAAAATCTCAACATAAGATTAAGAAGCACTACAATGTCAGCTACCACCAGCATGACAAGTGAGGGGAAGAGTGTTGAGCCCTCGTTCAATCACTGGATAAACACCTTAGGAGGAAAGCTGACGGGAGAGTTGTTTGATTTGCCAGTTCTGGAAACTCTGTAACTCTCAAACACTTGTAGATGACGAGCAAAACTGCACTTGAAGCAAGAGACAGAGTGAGAAACTTGATGTACTGTAGACGATTGTCCATTCGCTTGTTCACGGAATCATCTGTAGATGACACACTTTACAGAGTAGGAGAGACAAAACCTGGTGCGGACCATCCTGATTTGCCAGTTGAAATATCACCTGTAAATGACATGCTGCACAGAACGTGCGAAGTAGGACAACTGATTTGGGCAACAGCCAACTTGCAAGTTCGTTGAAGCATCAGAGGGGACGCAGAAGGAGACACACTGTATGGTAACTCTGATGCCTGTGATCGGATGGGGAATGAAGGACTCCAGTCCATGGAGAAGCTGCCATTCAGAGTTTTGATGGGTGACCTCAGCGGTGAACACAGCACGACGGTCTAGAATTCGAGAGCGACTGATCTTCTTCTGCTCTATAAACAATGAAGACAACAGTCATACACTCAGCACCAGCAAGGCAAAACACATAACCTGCACAACTTCACGTACTGGCTCAGGAACAGAGTGACAGTAGACAGCTCAGCAAGAAGAGAGGTCTCATTTACTAATGGCGAACTGTACAATGTGTATGTGTGTGTGTGTGTGTGTGTGTGTGGGGGGGGAAGGAAGTGAGAGCCACAGAGGACAAGTTGATCGCCATGTCAAGCCAGTCACAACGGAACAGCTGAGATGTCAGGGTGCACCTTGTGGTACATAATTTGCAGCAGCCCACCACCCAGTCTCAACTCGAGCATCATGCACAAAAGTCTTCGCCTGTTCAGTAGGGCATATATATACACTGCCAAAATGGGCAGGGACTTGAAGGAAGGAATGGGCTCTTCCCAGGAAAGTCATTCCCTTGACGGAAGGAGGGGAAGCGAGTCCATCAGTCTGTGTGTGTGTGTATGTGTGTTCACACGACCTTCTTAAAGAGCACAGGCTGCCCTGGGTGCTGCTGCTGGATGTGTGAGGGCACCTCGATGGCCTTGAGCCGCACACCGCTGGGGCAGTAGGGGCACTGGTACAAGCTACTGCTGCGCTTGTGGACGCCTTTGGCCGGGCGCGCTCCCACCTGGCCCGCCTGAGCCAAGCCCACCGAGGGGGGCGGGGCCACAGAGTGAGACTCTGGGCTGGCGGAGAGCGGGGAATGTGAGGCGGCCGGGGAGCTGGGTGACGAGTGGGGGATGGGGAAGGGAATGCTCAGTCCGGGCCTGGCCTGCAGAGTGGCTACAGGGTGGGGGAGGAGGTGGGGCCGCGGGAACGCTGGGTGGACCATGGGCGAGGGGTGCTGTGGCTGTTGCTGTTTGAGCTGGCTGCTCAGCAGTCTCTGCCGCTGCAGCTCAAGGGCGTGGCGAGACAGCTGCTGCTGCTTCAGCTGGTACAGCTCCTCCCTCTGCTGTTTGAGCAGCAGTGCTGTTGTGGCGGCGCGTTTGCTGTGGGCCTGCGAGGGATTGGTCGAGGCGGCAGGCTCCCCGTGTCGCCGTGAGGTGGTGGGCTGTCGTGACTTGCTGCTGGTGGTGGGCAGAGTCCCCGGGCTGGAGGCGGGGACTTGGGGGTAGGAGAAACCCTGGGGCAGAAGGTTGGGGGGGATGACAATGCCGGGTGGGAGACCCGCCATGTGGCCGGGGAGGTAGCCGCCGGGGAGACTAGAACCACTCACAGGGGGGAACACAGTGGGCGTGCTGGAAGCCTGACCCCCTGCAAACATTGCCGGGGCGCTCGGTGACGGTGAGGCGCTAGGGGCTGCTGGTGCCATTGGTCGCAGGTTGAAGATTTTGAAGGCATCGGGGTTGGGCTCCACATCAGGTAAACTGTCGGCTGTGGCTGATGTAGCTGTGGTGGTGGAGGTGGCTGGTGGCTGGAGGAAGCTGTGAGCTAGTGGACTAGGAGAGGAGGAGGCTGGGGACGAGGTGTAGCTCCTAGCCTCCGAACTACGGGCAGGAGAGGAGGAGGAAGGTCGAGGTCGGATGGTAGGCACGTTGAGAACCGGCAGATTCCTCACCGAACCAGCGCCACTTCCTGCGCCATGTGTCTGACTTTGGTGGGGGGGCTTGGGGTGGAGGGAGGGGGCGGGTCGGAGGCTCTGAGGTTTGGTGATGGTAGAGGAGGCCAGCAGCTGTCGTGGGGACAGGAAGCTGGCAGCGGCAGGGGCGCCGGCACTGTGAACAAGTCCGAGGGGTGGGGCAGGGGCAGCCAGGGCGGCCGGAGGGGGTCCCGGCATGGACGACGTGTCAAACAGGGCACTGGAGAAGGCGATGACAGGCCGCGTGGAGACCGACGTGCCCACTGTGGTGAGAGGGATGGCGATGAGAGGAGTCCGTGATATGAGTGAAATGAGAGGCACAGGGGCGCCCGTGCACGCAACAGGGGGAGTAACCGCAGACGTGGTTGTGGTTTTGCTTGCGCTCATTTCTACAGCAGTTTGCTGAACTGCTGGACTTGAAGCTTCTGCCACTTTCTGCTGCTCCGTTGACTCTTTTTGCACATCTGTGGTTTCCTTAGACTTACTAGTAGAGGAGAGGTCGAGAGAGGATGCGGGGGGTGGTTTACTGGCAGTGTCCGATGAAGTGTCTTGAGACGATGACGACGACGAGGAGGATGCTTCCAGCGTCTTCTCAATATATTTTCCATTGCGGGAGATACAGGTGAGAACAGAGAACAGGTTCTTGGGCACCGAGACGTGCACCTTGTCTGTGTCCAGGGAGGTCTGGTGAGCGCTGGAGCAGTGCGTGGCGATCTCAGCCAGGACCTTGTGCTTGAAACTCTGGCACACGGGGCAAACAAACTCAAACAGGTCCGAGTGTTGGTCGTTGAGGTGCTCGTACACGCTGGCCAGCGATGTCATCTTGAGGTGGCAGTAAGTGCACGTGTGGATGTCCTCCTCCAGCACCAGCCGGTTGCCCACCCGCACGCACTCGGGGCTGGACGGTAGCACCATTGCCTCCACCAGCTTCTTGGCCTCGTCCGAGAGGGAGATCTCGTTGCGCGACAGTTTGTCCGGGTGGTGGTTCTTGATGTGGATGCGCAGCTGTTTCTGGCTGGAGAAGCAGAGCGCCTTCTTGCAGTAGGGGCAAGCGAAGCAGTCGATGAGCGGATGCTTGGCCTTCAGGTGCTTCACCATCATGAGGAGGTAGGGCGTGTGCACCTTGCAGGCGCTACACTTATACGACAGTGGCAGACGCCCACCCGACGATGACGGTTGCGGCGTTTCGGTGGAAGAGGATGAGGATGAAGATGTGGGGGCTTCCGCCGAGGTCGTTGTTGTTGTTAATGACGATGAAGCACACGCTGACGACATAGTAATAGAAGAAGTGGTTGTCGTTGTGGGGGTGGAAGAGGGCTGAGGAGGTTTAGAGGCATCTCCTGACGGGCCCAAAGCTGTACTGTGTTGCGAGGGTAGAGGTGACATGGTCCCTGTCGTCGCTTGAGTCGAGAGGGTGGGATCACAGCTGGGAGACCCGGCGCTGGCCGTGACACTCACACTTCCGGACACAGACGTCTGAGGGCTGCTCCACAAGGCCTGAGGACAGAAAAACACTTTCACTGAAGCCAACGACAACCATTTCCAGAGACCTCTGAGAGACTATAAACCAAGAGAGACACCCTTCATTAACCAGGGGACAAGAGCAACCCCAAGGTAATACTACCAAGGCTTTTCTTTGTGGCCGGGAAAACTCACGACAACACACCAACTGTAGCTCTTCACAAAAAGGATCTCTTTTAGTTATAGTAAAAGTTTTACTGCACTTGCAACATTAACAAGTTTTTTAAAAGTCAAACAGGAGAAAAAAGCAGTCTCACTTACATAAATGAAAGCTGATGAAATTTTCTGAACCACAGAGAGAAAAAGGATAAATGTGGTAACTGAACAAAAAAAAAACACATCATGAACTCACTGACTGCTCATGCCGGTCCAAAAATCTGTAAATACTGGATATTCAGATAAATTGGTAGAAACGGGGAGCCCTGGGAAAGTCATGCTATTTAATGCCGGTTTATTTCGGTAGTGGTGTCCCTTGATCCGCTAATGTAGCTTTTGTGTTTCTTTTCTTAGACGAGATTAGTTACAACGGGGATTAATTAGATCTGGAAGTGTTCGGCAATTCAAGATTGAACTTCAATATTGTCCTGCCTCTAAACGAAAATATGTTCATTTTAATGGGTTCTGATGCTGAACAAGGCATACCAGATGGTCATCAAAGTGACTTACAATACTTAGATCTCAATCAATCTGTTAAAAACGGTAAAATAAAAGTGCCTTTCGAGGCTGCTTCATGCACTTCCTCAACCACTGGCTCGAGTAATTCTGGGTTTATTTTTGTCCTTATTTTGAAGTGTGATACCTCTTGAAAACCTGTTTTCACCTCAATTAAACACATCATAAAAATAATTAATAAAGAGTGTCTACTTCGAATAGTTATCCGACAAAGAGTGATGTAAAACACCCTTGTGTTGCTGGCAGCCGGGTCTGAATTTGAATTGGGATTTCAACCGCTGGCAGCCAGTGTGTTAACCCTATCCGTATGCCCTGGGGGTCATTTTGAACCCTCGGGGTTGTTTTCTTCACATTTTAGAAAACTTCTAGGGCGAAGATCTCTTTGAAACTTTCAGTATTTCTCCAAAAATCATTTTGACAGCCTGCTGTGCAAAGCGTACGGATCAACAAGTAAATTTCCTCTTTGAAAAGTGATGGCACAGAGTTCCCCACGTCGTATGGATACGATAGTAAAACATGACGTACGGATAGGGTTAAAGTTGCTTTATCTGTCCATACCTCAGCCTGGGAGACTGCGGCCGTGCTGCGCTCACAGTGGAAGGGACTGTCCTGCTGACCACTCAGGCTGACCACCTCCACTATCTTCAGGCCGGAGGAGTCCCCGTCACTCGGGCCAGCCTCGGGGGGAGCTGTCGCCTCCATGGGTTCCGCCGCATCCAGGGCAGGTGGCTTGTCCGTTTCAGAACTGGCCGCGACCCTGGACAGATGGACATGCATGGTGTTGGGTTATGGAGAATGCTTCAAATGCAACATAGTGGAAGACACAGGAGCAAACCACTTTGATGGCTGGCAACCCTGGTCAAAGTTTGAAATGGCTGGTAATTATTTAATATTTGCAGGCATGACAACTTGAGGTGAATTAGTTTAAGCAGTTGATTTGTGCACTTTCTGAGTACATCGTCATAAACAAATGGCATAAATGTATCCAATATATTATGAATTTGGCTGTAAATGACCACGACATTAAATATATGCAAGTTTGAGAGGGGAATCTTAATTTTGAGCAATTTCCGGATAAATTAGTGGAGTCATCTTTACCCATTTTGGTGAGCTGACAGAGTGCATTTGACCCTAAGCTTTGATTTGTCATACCTTATAAATGTCCCACAAACCAGTCATGCTGGTAGCCCACATATAAGTAAAGGGAGAAAGAAATAGCATAAACCACAGACAGAGAGATCAGGAGGACAGTAGATGACCAAGTAAATTCCTCACTCATGCATTTTCCCCCATGGAAAAAAAACTAAAAAGATGTATAGGAAAGAACCAATTCAGAAATATTTTGACAACTTGTCAGGGATCTAAACTACAGGCCATGTTGACAAGCATCCTGCCCAGGGCTCCTTCCAGAGGAGACTGCTGCTTGTAACTACAAGATTTACACACAGACATACCTTGTGTCAGAGCCAGGGGCTGGTGGAGTCTCTCCACTAGGCTGCGATGAGGGAACACTCGTCTGTGAGATAGGCTCATCCCCTGCCATCCCCTCAGGCCTGCTCTCTGCAGACTTGTCTTGGTCACCATCACCGCTGGAACCTGCAGTGAGCCCTCCTGAGACAACTGTGGCCTGTTCTGCGAGCGGTTCCTCCTCCGCCTGTCCCCGGGCGGTGGCTGTGGACGAGATGTCTCCGCTACTGCTGTGCTTCAAGCTCCCCGTCTCCGCTGGCAGAGACGGACTGAGCTCGCTGCTGTTCGTGCTGGGTACGTTCCTCGAGCTGACCTCATTCCCTCCGCCCACTCTCTCCACCCGGCCCGTCCAGGTCTCTTCTCCCTGCCGCAAGGCCGCGTCGTCAGCTGCGGGGTCGTCCACATCATTGTCCACAGCCTCCTCTGTATAATCCACCGCAGTGGTGCTGTCAGCCTCCGCACTGCGCTTCTCTTTCCAGCCCTCCTGAAGGTACAGGTAGTCCTTTGCCTTCTGTCGGTGGTCTATGGAGGCCGCCTCCAGATCAGAGTCCTCCCGGTGCAGCATGGAGCTCACCCGCCCAAGAATATTCTCTGGCGAGTCCTCTGCATTTGCTGCCTCCTCCTTCTTGTGCAGGCGCTCTGCGTCGTAAAAATCTGGCAGTCTGCGGTAGGGTCTCGTCCGTGTCGGGTGGACTGTGGCGCTATGCTGTTTGATGTCTGGCTCGGAGTAGAAGACGTTTTCGTCGCACAGAATGCAGGCGTACAGGCTCTGACTAGAGTGGAGGTCTGACACATGATGCTCCGCATCATCTCGGACATTTGTGGAGAAGCCGCAGTGAGTACACACAAAACGGCGAGAGCTGGCCGAGCGCCCACCGCGACCCACATTCCCACTGACCACCACCGAGATGTACACGGGTGGGGACTGAGCTTCCCCTGTGGGACTGGCCGACACTTGCGGGGCGGCTGGCGTACGCGCCGGGCTGCCTTCCTCCTTCTCGTAAAAGTTCTTCTCATCTATGTGTCGACTGATGTGGAACTTGGCTTCCTTCACCAAGTGCGTGTTCTTTAAGTGCGTGGAGGTGGCAGCCATGGAGCTGAACTCGGACTCGCAGTAAGCACACCGGAACTGCACGCCGGGGATGTGGCTGTAGATGTGAGACTCGATGGTGAGCTTGGTGCCTGCAGAGAAACCGCAGCGTTTACACGAGTACTTCCCTGAGGCCTGTTTGTCAGAGAGCAGGATGTGCTTCAGCTTCCACTCCGTCTGTCCAATGGGGGAAAGGCTGCTAGCCTTGGGGCTCTTGCTGCTCTCACTGGTGTCTGCTCGCTTGTGTGAAGCACCGCTTGATACGGGGGACTTGGGTTCGGGCCCTGAGCTGTGGTCGTCATTGGCTGTGCTGGTGGCTGCCTCCTCCCGCTCTAAACAATCTGGTTCGGTGACTGTCTGGGCCTTGGACACCGCCATACTGTTCTGGCTGGACACATCACACACCGTCTGTGACTGCGTCAGTGTTGATAAGGAAGAGAACCTATCGTCTTTGGATTTGGTCGCGCTCTCACTGACCACAGCCACCTCTACGCGTGCTCCATCTTGACCAGCCGGAGAGCCAGGAACCGACATATCCTGCTCTCCTTTCTCCTCAGCTGCGGCCATCGTCCCAGAGTCACCGAGCAGGGTAACCGACTGTTGGGTTCCCACTGTATCTGCAGTACTTCCCGGATCCCGCTCTTTCTCACCGCCATCTTGCCCGGCCTCACAACACCTAGAGGCGTCGGCGTCAGCGCCAGAAATCACCAGATCTGACACCACTGGCGGAGCAGGCAAGGTGCTTACCACACCAGGACGTGTTTCTTTTCCTGAGACTTGGCTATCAGTCTCAGTATTCTGTGTGACAGTTTTGCCACCTTTGTCTTTCTCTGTCGAGGCTTGCTCTCCACTCAAACCAACCACAGGAGCTGGGATCCCCTTGCCATCGAGGCTAAAAGCACCTGGTTCCTCTGAGCCAGGGGCGTACGACTGCTGCATGAGGTTCATTTCATCGTTGGATAAGGTCTTTCTGACAGGGCATGGGAGGCGTGATTTGTCCCTCCCCACCTCTGAGCTTCCACTGAGACCGCTCTCAGACTCGTCAGACGCCTGGAGCACATTGAGCACAGGTCCTGGCCCCACCACATCGACACCAGCCGTCAGAGCCGCTCCGCACGTCTCAGAAGCCGTCTTATCATCATCCCGAGTTACCGTCACAGCGGTGTGCGTCTCTCCATCAGTCTTAGCTCTGTCCGTCCCAGGCTCAGCCCCACCCTGCGTGTCTGTGGGGGTCTCGTCCAAATCTACAATCAAAATGTCCTCATCTTCATCATCCGCAACACTTCTATGTGAATCTGCAGCCAGGGGAGTACTTTCCACAGGGACTGAGTGAGATGTGGACAGGCCGAGCTTAACAGGAGGAGCGGGACCTAGCTGAGCAGTGAGCTCTGGCGCTGTAATGCTGGGAGAAGATGATTTTGTTAGCTCAGTTTGAGAAATCGCAGGACTGTGAGTGGAGTCTCCACTGGTTGATTGTTGGTCCACCCCAGGCTTGACCGCACCCTCCTTGCCAGTAGCGGGCTGCTGCACCAACAGGAGGGGTCTCTTCTTCTTAACAGGTTTGCTCTTTTCACCCCCCTGCTTGCCCTTGAGGAACTCGAGGTAGCTGCTCTCAAAGCCCGTTCTTGCTATTTTGTCCAGATCAAAACCTTGCGCAGAGCTGACCGTCGCTGTGGTCACATTTGCCGAATACCCCATAGACTCACTGCCAGGCGATGTCTCCGTCTTGATGATGAGCTTGATGGGCTCGTGGTGACTTGGTACTCGTGCACTCTCCCCACTCTCACGCAGTTTGCCTTTGGCTTCCTTGCCCTTTTTCAACACTCTCTTGATCTTTAGTCGCGGGATATAAGGACGACTTTCCCGCGTTCCAGTGGTGCTCCATTCCTCCTCATCTTCATCTTGAAGATCTTCCAGGTCGGCACACCAATCCTCATCATCATCCTCCTCGTATACAGAGCTGCCAGGAGAGGCCACTCCATAAGTATCTGCCGCATGGTCAGGCTGAGTCTCAAAGGCATCCAGCTGAAGCTTCTTGACAAAGTCGCTGAGCACAACTGCGCACGGCCTCAGATTTCCTTCACTCCCTTCACCCTCAAAACTGGCATCTTCATCAAATGTCAAACGAGCGTTCCGCTTCTGCCTCAACAGCTGCAGCCGGGCGAGACGGCGCTCTTCCTCCTGGTCGTAGATTGCTTCCTCCTGTCTCCTTTTCATCTCCAACATCTCAATGGGCGACCGCGTCGACTTCTTACGGAATTCAAACTTCCTGCCGGACGTGCTGGGAGAGCTGTGCGTGGACAGCAGGGGGTAAATGTCTTTGATCACTTTCATCGACTTGCGAGCCGTCCGCGGCCGCTTGAAGGTGTCCTCTTCCGACATGGGCAGGCCCGGCGGCTGCCCTCTCTTTCCCTTCATTTTCCTGCGGCCGGCTACACCGACGGGACCCCTTTCTTGGGCCGCAGCAGGCAAAGATGTGTGAGTGCCATCGGTCTGTGGTTCCTTCAGAGAAAGAGCGCTCGTCCCTCCTACATTGTCCTGCGCTGTCAGGTCAGGTGGAGCCACCGTGACAGGAAACTTGACGGGGCTGACTGACGTGCCTTTGAGCGGCGACGTGCTGGTGTCATCGTCGCTGACCCCCGACAGGTATAAGTGGTAGTCCTCGTCCACCCCCTCAGGCACCGCTTCAAACTCCTGCCTCTCCAGCAGTGAGCCAGAGAAATCCAATTCCGCCTTGGTGGTCGCTGGGTCGAGGGACACCTGGGGAGAGAGCGTTGGTGGTGTGGTGTTTGGCGGGTAGTTCAGTTCCTGCGAAGCTGGCAGTGTCCCAGATGGAGTGAGCTGAGGCAGAGGGCCACCGCTCAGCTTTCTGGGCCTGCCTCTTTTCTTTTTGCCATCATCAGCTTCCGTTGGGATGTCAATCTTGAGCTGTTTGCCTAAGCCGCCAGCCATCTGGCGCTTCAACTTGCTGCTCACGTTCCTGACCGTGTTGTCTTGCCTGAGCCTGGTACGCCGCGCCTGGAGATTCACCTGCACGGGGAGGATGCCTCTCTTGGCCCGCGTGTTGAGTGTGTCCTCGTCCAGCGTCGCGTTGGCCAGGTTGGCGTCTGTGCGAAGCCGCTTCAGCATGGCCATAAACTTCTTTTTCTTGCCCCCACCTTTGTCCGTGCTCACAGACGGACCAGACAAGGTAGCCGGGCCAGATCTCTCCAAGTCCGCACCACCATCAGGCTGAGGCAGCTGCGATAAATGACTGTTTTTTTCTCCCTCAATCTCTGACGCCAATTGAGGAACATCCACTACCCCATCACTGCCTGCATCTCTGCTGCTCAAGAGTAAATTGGTAGTCGAGTCATTTTTTTCTTGACACTCCGACGTCAGCAGAGGTGCATTCGAGGCACTACCATCACCAGCTTCTTCAGCAACAACAACAGACTGCCCCCTTGAAGCAATCTCACACTTGTCACTTTCCAGGTGTCCTTCTGACAGCTCAGGTCCACCATCTGACACATTACTGCCCGTGATACCCCCTGTCACTGCATCAGCCTCGCTGTCAACGAGAGCACTAGACACAGGGTCCTGAAGTCCAACTTCTGTCCCTTTACCAGTCTCAGGCAAAGAGGCAGAGTCCGTGTGTCCACCAGACACCCGTGTTTCTCTCCACACTGGCTTTGCCACCCTTGAGTGCTTCTTCATCAACCCCCTCTGCCAGCCGCTGCGGCCTCTCTTTCTCACGCGGTGAAGTGGGCTCTTCAGACGCTCATGTGACCTGGACAAGAGAGTGCTTGGTGGTTTCTCTCCAGCTCCAACATTACTCTCTTTCATGTCACCAGCATGCGGTTTCTTTCTGTTCAAAATAAACTTTCTACCTTTTCTCCCTTTCACCACAAACCTCCGACTCCCGACAGCGCTGTGAGGGTGTGCGATGCCAGAGACATCAGTCGCGACCGTCTTTTCTTGGGTACCATCACAACCACCAGACTCCCCTACCACCACGTTATCGGCTCCCCGAGTTTCTCGCTCACCAGCAGCACTGTCCACCTCACCTGGCAGGCTACTGGCGGCAACACTGTTGATGTCCGACTCCCGAACTGGCCCCGACGACACAGAATCAGTCACATCTGAGACCACTACAGCAGATCCTGGAGGCACTTGACACGTCATTTCCGGCATGGGTTGGTCAGAGCAGAGTTCTACACCCTCGGTTGGTCCAATGTCCACATCTGTCTGTGGTGTCAAAGCTGTACCCGTAGAACGTTGATCATTCATCATGTTAGCAGCGCTAAGGTTCTCACTGCCACCAGCAGTAGCGTCTGATCCAGTCAGCTGTGAGCAACTCGAACTCCCGGCACCCACCTCCGCAATATCTGAAGGTATGGCTGCTTCTTCGGGCCTGCTCAACTTGTGGTCAGCAACAGGACCTCCTCCTTGTGTCTCCTCAGGGCTAGCCACAACCTCCTTCGCCACCACACCGTCATCATCCTTGTTGTCTTCTGCTACAGTGGCCCCTGCACGGACTACAACGTTATCCACTTCATCAACAGCACTGTTTTCATCCTCAGGAGAAGTGTTCACCGCGTCCGTCACTTTTGTGTGTGGCTCAACAATACTGTCTGTCCCTGTCACAACACTCTGGCCACTGCACTCAGCGGACGCCAGGCTCTCAGGGAGAGCCAATGTGCTGATGTGTTGTCCACTATCGCTGGAAGATTTACCATCCTCAGTCAATGGTGCATCCACAGCTCCACTACCAGAGTCTAAATGCAAAAGATTGTGTTCAACGGTGGTTTCTTCTGTCAGTTCACATCCGGGCACTTTTGATATTGACGTACCCTCCTCCTCTTTCTTAACCTCCTCCTTACATTCGCCATCATCAGGTACACTCTCTTCCGCTTCTTCCTTCTCAATATCTTTCAAATCCTTGCGGTGCTCCACAGCTGATTCCATTGCACACTTCTTCACATCGCCCTCTTCCACACATGACATGTCAGACTCCACCCTCTCCCCCGAGTTTTCGACAGTGGGTGCATCTACCAGTGCCTGCGCCCCATGCACACCGTCCACCTGCTTCACATCGTTGTTATTGTTGTTATTGACGGAGGCTTTCTCCGCTGAAGGGCCCCTCTCTTCCCTGAGGCCTCTCACCCTCCTCCATCTGCTCTCCCCATCACTACTTCCACAGTTGGCGGCAGCGCCACTCACACTCACTTCCCCAGCACTTTGTGATGAAAATTTTGAACTGTCCGACATCTCCACCTTTGCTTCCAATGACGTCACAGGCTCCACCTCTTGTTTCACAGCTGCTCTCGTTCGCAGACCTTTGGGCTCCGGTTGTTTTTCTATACCCCGAACAGTGCTCGACTTTCGTGATGTTGAATCCTGAATCTTCCTTTTGATTTCAGCCTTTGACACAACTTTTTGGCTTGAGCTCTTTCCTTTCGCTGATTGAACGTAATTCAGCAGTCTGACAAAGCGAGACTTGTTGTTGACTTTACTGTAAAAGTTGGAGACCAGCTGATCCACCTCGGTGCCTGGGTTTTCTTTGGCTTCCCGGCGTAAGTACTTCAACATGGAAGGGCTCACACCTTTCAAACCCCTTCTTTTCTTGGTCCCGAAGTAGATTTTTTTCCTCTTTTTCTTCCCTTGGCCGTCTGTGTCCGGCTCATCATCCTGACTACTTGTGGCTGACTTCGGTTCTAGGGCGGTTGTCTTCTGTTCTTGGCTCGCTGTGACTTTCCCGCGCTTGGCGTGGGTCTTCTGTAGTGCAGCTTTTAACGACTGCAGCTTTTTCTTTCTGTGTTGTAGCAGAGAACTCTGAGGTTTCCGCGTTGGGGACGTGGCAGACAGTTTGCTGGTTCTGGGTGTGGAAGACACGAAGGCGTCTGCTCTGCCATCCTTCGACCTGCGAGCAGACGATCTGCTGAGAACAAAACCGATGTCGGGTGTGGGGGCCCAGAAACCGGGAGTGGTGTCTAGTCTCTTCAGCTCACTAGAACCCAGCAGGTCTGAGATGAAGATCTCAGTGGAACCTCGCCGAGAAGAACTTTCTCCCTTCGGCTCAGCCTGACCTAGTTCTGATGACTGAAGAGCCTGAACCTCTTCACGGCTTTCAGAGACCACACTTTTCTTTGCAGACGTCGATAAACTTGCCTCAGGAAGCTTGCGTTTTCGGCCTTGCGACCTGGCCACTTCTTCCTTGACTAGTACATCAGTGCTGTTGGACAACTCTGAGTCTTGTTCTGGTTTTCTCCTTGTTCGCCTCACAGCTGGCCCAGGGCTGGTTATATCAGCAGCAGCAGAGCTGTCCATCAACTCCGACTCTTGCTTTTTACAACTTTTCTGAACCGAGACATTTGACTTGCCAGTTTGCCTCGACGCAGAGCCTGGCGTGACAGGAGACACACTGACAGCCGAATCTTTGACGCTCCCCTTCTCCCTTACGTCCTGTCCCCCCGACCTGGAACGTCCTAATCTGTCTCTCTCCACCGACGAAGTGGAGGCAGGGCTTAGGTCCCGCGAGGACCTCCCACGGTGCTCTCCAAAGCTGGGCGACCAGAAGCCCTCGGTGGTGACCAGCCGTCGCAGCTCGCCCAGAGAGATGGTACCCGGCGCAGGGCTCATGCTCTTCTCCGACATCTCAGAGGCATTTGCGCCTGTCTGTCGGGCAGAAGCGCTGCGCGAGACAGTCGTCGTGCGCTCTTGCGATGAGTTGGAAGCTGGACTGATGTCTCTCGATGTTTTAGAACCGAATCGTGTCCCACTGCTGTGAGCAGAAGACCTGGCCCGAGGGGCTGTCATTCGTTCTTGAGATGAGTTTGAAGCCGGGCTAGCATCCCTCGATGTTTTAGAACTGTTTTGGGGCCCACTGTTCTGAGCAGTAGATCTGCCCCCTGAGGCTGTGATTCTGTCTTGCGATGAATTAGATGCTGGGCTAACATCTCTGGAAGTCTTTGAAGAAACTCGGGGACCCAGCACCATGGCGCCAGGATAGGAAAACCCCCGAGTAGTTTCCAGCCGCCTCACCTCAGACAGTGGGCCGGTACGCTTGTGGGTCGACTTCCCTACAGGAATACGTTTGGGCTTTGGCGGCGTCGGCGTGTCAGCCGTGGATGCCTCTGTTTGACCAGCGTCTAAGGTACCACCACCTGAGGTCTGGGAAGCTGGGCTGTTGGTGCGCTGCGAGGCCTTCGAAGACCAAAAACCACTTGTGGTTTGAAGGCGCTTCATTTCGTGGGAGAGCGCGTCGGTCCCTTGGGAAGACTGCTTGCTGCGGATGGTTCTCTGCAGAGTCTGCCATGACCTGCCCCGTAAAGCGGCAGCCTTCTTGTTGGCCGTGGGAAATGACGATCTCAGTCTCCCCAAGGCAACGGCCCTGGTCTTTCCTTTGGCTAATACTGAGCTTCTTTCCTGATTAGGTGCACTGTCAGAGGTCGATGTCGCAGAGCTGCTCTGCTCAGTCCTTAAAGACATCCTCTTCCTTTTGTCCACCGAATTGCTTCTGGACGAATTGGTTGAGCTGACAGAGATTTTCCGCTTGCTGCTCATTGACCTAACATTCGCCTGATTAAGATCATTTTTCTTTTTAGTGACGAGGTTTGAGCCTTGACCAGCATCTGAAAAATTTTGAAGGAAAAAGAAAGGGTAAAAATGAATTAACACAGCCAATGAATTTTTGTGAAAACACGAGAACAGAATTCCAGAGCCTCCCTTGTCCCCAGTACAGGATAAGCATCATGACACAAACCCATGTATGTCTACAACCCCCCCCTCCCCCCCCTAAAAAAAGACCAACAAAAAACCATAAACCACCATCATATCAGTAATTACAAGGGACACTCCAAGAAACAAACACAGTCAGATCAATCTGTTCTATATTTCAGTTGCAAACACCATGCACTCAGTCCAGTATGAAGGCTGTATGTAATTCAACAGTCTTCAGGATGGTGATGGTGCCATCTGCTTTGAGATTACAGCATTTTGAGTAATACTTACTGCATTTACAAGATGCAAATACATCATGTATAGCATAACAATGTAGGTATACAATATCCCCACAATAAAACATTGCTACTAAAAAGCAGTATGGTGTAAAGACTCAACGATCAGCAAGTTACCCCCCC